CGTACCATCCATTTTCTGAAACTATAGAAGCAAGTTCTTGCACAGAATGTTTACTCAATTTCGATCGTGAGTGTGCTGAAAGGGTTTCGGAGGATGTGATTCGTGAGTTTAACACGTTGACGACGAGCCATTTTTTGAAGGTCTGTCCCTGTGGACGAACCGTTTCCCGGCACTTTCACAGCTGGCTGCATGTATGTTTGTATGCATCGATGCGTGAGATACAAAAATGCAGGTGGGCGGGGCGGCTCCGCCCACTTTTGGCAAGCCCCGCCCACTTTTCAAAAATGCTGGAAAGTGCCCAACATCAATAAATTCGTGCAAATTCCGGCATTTCTGAAATGTGGGCGTGGCTTGCCACTCAGGGGGCGGAGCTTGCCACTCAGGGGGCGGAGCTTGCCTGAAGGTGCGCGGGGCCTGGCTGAAAGTTGTTTGAGGTCTCTGCGTTCATTTAAGGCCTCATCCATGCTTTTTATGAACAAAAATGGCTCTTGTGGGAGGCATAGAAGTGGGCGGAGTTTGCCAAAGGGGGCGGAGCTAATATATGAAGTATATCTGAGCCTATGTTGATTATATGAATAAAAACTGAGAGGATTGGACAGATAGTATTGAGATTAAGGCCGCCGCGCACCATTGCGCGGCGTCGTCCACAGGGACAGACTGCCTGCCGCGCACCATTGCGCGGCACTGTCGTCAACGTGTTAAGTTTGGTTCGAAATTGGAAGTACAGCGTTGCATGATGCATTATCAAAAAAATGAATTTTGAGTGCAAGCACTGTTTCCACACTTCATCTATTAATAAAGCATTAGCAACCCACGCTACTTAATCAACGACGCAGACTACTGCATAGACACGTCACCTCAACTGGGGGCCCAGCGGGGTGACCCGAGCAGCGCTTCATCTCATTTGTGAGTGCAAACGTCGTCGTCACGTTTGGTTGCCGAGAAGGCGGAAAAAAGATTGGCATGGAGGTGCGAAGCCACATCGCAAGCGCTTCGTGACAACATCCATGGAATCATTGAGCCAGCAAATCGTCGATCGCTCGTCGTGGCGGAGCATCCCTGGCCTAATCTATGAGGAAACCCGTGGTGTGCTGAAAGTACTTCCGGAGAGACGCATCACATATTGCATGCGAAGAGGAAGACCGTTACTGCGAGGATGTCATTTATGCTCTCAAGCGCCAAGAACTACACTCTATGAATTCGGGGATACCGACAACTTCGAACTGATTCTGACCCAACGGCTCTCTTTGAGGCCGTATCATTACAATTACAGATGCTCTGCTGAAACCGCATTTTGTAAATATTAGGTCGTCCCGAAAGTTCTTGCGCACTATCTTCAAAACTTCATAACTTCTGATTTTTCCATCCGATTTGACTTTTTATTTTCATGTGAAAGAGCAAGTCATGCTCTTCATAATGGCATCTTAGCTGTTTGCTCATGATCATCTGTTGCATAGATAGAAGCGATAGAATAAAATTGGTCAAATTTGTATTTTCTGTGTAGGGTCATAAAAAATCGAAGACTTGCAGCAAAATTGGAGCAGTCGGTATTGTAAGTTCTTTCACCAGCTCTTTCTAACAGTGCAAAGTTTGCGCCAATTGAGTGATGAAAAGTTATGATTTCCCTGAAAAATGCCAAAATAAATCAAATTCGCCCTTTTGTTCTGCGTGCTCGAAATTCATAACTTTTCATAGAGACGCTCAAACAGCGCAAACTTTGCACAGGTAGAAAGAGCTGGTGAAAGAATACCGACTGCTCCGATTTTTGCTGCAAATCTCCGATTTTTTATGACCCTACACAGAAAATTCAAATTTTGACCAATTTTATCCTATCGCTAATATCTATGCAACAGATGGTCATTAGCAAGCAGCTAAGATGTCATTATAAGGAGCATGACTTACTCTTTCACAAAAATAAAAGCAGTCAAATCGGATGGAAAAATCAGAAGTTACGAATTTTTGAAAATCGTGCGCAAGAACTTTTGGGACGACCTAATATATGTAGGTACTAGTGGACCAGTAATTAAAGGGGCTAGATTGCATCCGCACGTTTCGGGACCGCACCGCGGTATCCTGCTATTTGCACATTTTTGAAGTGCGCTAACGATTCTTTATATATCAGATTCCTTTACTTCTTCTGTCCCTTCGGGAAACATATAAAATTTTTCAAAAAAAACTGACCTTTCTGTGGCTTAGTAAAATTGTTAAATTTCACTAAATTAAAATCTATCGCTCTTTCTCTCTTTTTCAGGCGAAGATACAAAAAGTGGCTAAGCCAAATCTATATATATATATATATAAAACTCAATGTCTGTGAGGATGTTCGTTTAGTTGTTCGTTCGTTATAGAAACGCGCGCCACTGAACCGATCCGGCTGAAACTTCGCACACGTATATTTTCGACCCCGGCGGTGGTTTAGAGCTACTTTCCGCGGCGATTCGCCGGGCCATTCTATCGATTTATTGATTTACTCAAACCTAAAAAAATGAAGGGCCATCATGGCAACCGATCATTTTTACATATAAGCATGTAAGCAGGGGCGGTAAAGTCCATTTCGGTCTTAAAGTTGGTAGGGTGCGGCAATTAGTCTGAAAGCGCTTTATGCGCATGTTAGAAGAATTCTAGAGGCGTAAGTTTACAATTTCTGTTGGCTTAACTAACTTGAAGTCTCGGGTGAGACCGGGGCCCCCAGCTAGTATTATATAAGTATAGATTTTCACGAATCGCACATCCGATCATCAAGTGGCTAAGCATACCCTCGATACATAGAGCCACATACTCTGGTAACCTTCACTTTGAGGGCTATGAGGGGACACAACCTTCGCCTGGGAAAAAAACAGAAGTTAACCGGGGCGAAGCCCCGGATGTTACAATCCTGACTATATCGGAAGAATGTGAATGAACCAAATATAGGAAAGAATATCTGAAGAATGTCTCAGCGAAACCGAGAAATTGCTTTTTTGAAGCCTTTTTTACGCTGAAAAGAAAATTTCTGTGAGAATTTCCTCAGAATTCAGGACAACGTTCCTCAGTTAGCCTCCTACTTGACCAAAAATGAGTTTCAAAAGTTTGGAAAGCTGTTGGAGTTGAATTAAAATGAGAAACTGCGCTTAATTGTGCGCAGAGAGTCGCGCACGAAAATGCTGGTCTATCTCATTAGTAAGTGATTTTTGAAGCTTGGGACGTTGTCAACTCTCCTCGTCGTGTCATGACGGTCAGAATGATATATAATGTTACAGGGTTTCGTTGAGACCCCGACGAGATCTACGACCAGAGCCAAATGCCCCGTCGGCTCTGATCTGTCTCCGCTGCTCGTCTGCGTCTCCGCGCGCTGAGCGCTACCTCGCTACCACAAATGCGGGGCGCGGGGCATTTGGCTCTGGTACCCTTTTCTTCGCTGTTTCGAACCCAATTTTAGCAAGCTATATATCATTTTGAAGCTCTTGATCTCTATTTTCACGCTGACAACGTCCCAGAACCACATTTTTTGATTTGATCGAGAAATCCGGCAAAAACCTTGTTTTTGAAAATCTCTTGTTTTTCTTCTAGTTTACCTCTTTTTACCCGGTTTTTCCGTGCATTCTATAGATCCTGCTTCTGTTCATAATGCAGACAACCACCCAGCCTTTATCTCTTCGATTATTGTGGATTTTTTTGCGAAAAAATGTAAAAAGTGCGTTTTTCTTTACCTTGTTCTGTTTCAATGCCTTCGCATCGATTTTTTTTCCAGCTTGGGCGATTATTGCTCATCACAATAAGCGCAACAATCCAGACAACGTTCTAGGAAACAGGAACGTTAATGCGGGGGTAAAAATTCAAAGGACGCATCAAAAGTCAAAACCACGTGTTGCGAATTGCTGGTCCTGAAGCGAAAACTTGCACTTTGAAAAGCCGCCAAATGAAAGATTTCAAGCCTCATTGCAGCGTTTTTTTCCCTATTTTCAGCAGTTTCTTTTGCTTTTTGTATCAGTTTTATGTCATTTTCTCTTCTCTGATCATCTTTAAACAACTTTCACTATTTATGACGTCAGATGTTCAAGCAACCTTCACTTTTGACGCCCTGTCTCTGGACTATCGAAGGTATGGGGGGGGGGGGTAATTGTGGTACTCGAATCTTCTTGGTTTGAGCTTTTCCATAGGAATAAGAGGCTGACCATTAACTACCATTATTCTAGGACTTGTATCACATTCCCCTGAGTACAAATTGTATTTGCGTCTCTTTTCTGAACAGTTATTATCAAAGCTATCTTCAGAGTAGTTCTAAATGAAATATGTCATTTTGTGTCATTTCTAACAAGCAGCTCTCACGAAAGAAGCATTGCATTTACTTTATCTCAAAAATTGGCTCAATTTTGTGGAATTTTTATATCTTCACAAGAGCACATCTGAGCGACTCGGCTTAGACGAACATGCTTAGGTAAGGGTTGTTTTATACCGCAGTCGCTGCAGCTACTGCAGTCATATGGGGGCGGGCAAAAGATATCGATCGAATGACTGCCGTTGCTGCAGCGACTGCAGCATGAAACAACTCTAACAAGGGAAGGATAGTTGGATGCCGCGGCCATTCCTAATGATTTGTATACCGAAAAATGCGCCTTCAAATGCAGATTCTGAATCTGTGCTCGAAATCTGCGAAACGATCTTTCGAAGAAAGTTATGAACTTTTTTCCTTGAAAAAAACTTTTTTCCTTTTTTCCTTTTTCCTTCCTTCCTTTAGCCTACTTTTGGATAGTAAAAATCACCAGATTTTATCTAGCCTTCCATTTGATGCTACTGAAGAAAATTTTAGATGTAGTAATATTTATTTAGACTATCTGGATCATACTCAGCATTTGGAAAGGAGAGAAAATTTTTATATTGATGATTTTGACCCTCCGCAGGAACGCAATTTTTTTAATGAAAAAAATCATAACTCCATTCAGATTATCGTTTCGCAGATATGAAAGACAGTCTACGAACCAGCATTCAAAAGCGCATTTTTTGGTATACAAATCATTATGAATGGCTACGGCATCCAAGTATCCTTCCCAATTAAGCCATATATTTTTTGAATTATGCTATGAAAGTGCTCTTTTTCAAAATTGGATACGTATTCTGTTGGAAGCTTTTTATAGAAAAGTCTACATCAATTTTTCTCTTCTATCTCCTTATTTCGTTCATGGTAGTACAGTATATCATCCAAAAGGCATTCTGTCTTTTCTGTAACGACTTCCATACCCTGAAACATCATCAACTTCGAGCAGTCATTCACTAGATCATTTATTACCTTTTTCATATGTTCCTCATCCGGATTCTTGCATAGCGCTTCAAAAAACGGCCCAATGCATATGACTACCATAAAGCCACCCAAGGGGAAATATTGACGGTACGATTCTTTGAGCTGGAAGGATTTTTTTCAAACATGCCAGCTGATTGGGGGGGGGGGGAGAGTAGGGAGAGATTACCTGCTCGAGTGTATATGGCATTTTCATATCGCTAACTTCCTCTTCTAGATACACATAAAAGTCCTCGACAAGCTCCTCCCAGTGCAATCGTCTATCCTTTCCACTGAGACATGAAGAAAATAGTCGTACTAGATCATAAGCTGGACATCCCATATGAGCAGTCTATAAACACATTGAGGAGCCAAATTTGGAGTTTTCTTGAAACGGCAGGACTCTCCGAAATTATGGGGGTGGGGGGGGGGGGGGGGGAGTAGCTGCGCCGCCTCCAAATTTCTTAGAATTCTCAATTTATTTTTTGAAGGCCTATAACTCAGACAATTTGAAAGAAGAAAGGCAATTGGCGGCAGCCAAGCAATTCGCGAAGGTGATCCAATATCATGAAGCTTACGGAAATCCCTAAATCCCTTACGATTCAGAGCAAGTAATAGTGTAGCACTACCGTAATCTTGTGACTAGTATAGACCAACCAAACTTCCTTATAACTTATGTGAATACTTTCGTTCATTGCAATTTCCGCCTCACCTTTATTTTCTTCGGTCGGCGACTGAGCTGATTAATTTGAACTTTTATGAGTTTTTCATATACATATGCAATTTTGAGGGTAAATACCTGGAAATCTATCAATGCAGCTACGCTCATTTCACCGTTACTTTCTTTCCAAAGCATATTAGCCGTCCATAAATCTCCATGACAAAAGACGCGTCGCATACCTAAATTTATGTAACTAACACTGTCTTGGTACTCTCCACTTTTATTGAATAGGGTGAAGCTTTCTTTCTTCTAAAATCAGGCAAAGTATATAAATTAAACTGACCAAGCTTCTCAGGTAGGTGGTCAGCCTTTTCGATGTCTACGATATCCGGCAGTGCTTTTTCAACCCTGTCAATCCTCTCGGTGTTTTCTTCCGACGCTGTTGCTCGAAGCACGTTCATCATATTTCCCAATACCTGGTAAGAATATTGGTTGAAGAAGAATGTAATGTTTGCAAATTGCTTCTGTTCCACTGAGCTTTCAGACACAGTGAATTTGAGTTTTGAAAACACACAAAGAATTTGAGATGGTATAGTACAATTTTTCAGTCTAATAACCAAAAAAGGATATCTTCATGAAATTCAGGAAAGGAGACTTTGTCCATAACTCTCTCTCCATCAAAGCTTCCCATATATAGTGTGGACCCCGGCCAGCTTCCCATAGGTACGTGCGCGACGCTCCCGCAGCGCATGCCTTCAGTGCGCTTTCGTTTCTGCTTCATATGGAAATTGTTATGTTTTCTTCTCTAAACTGGCTTTGTTCTGTTTGTGAACGCTTTGTTTCAGGTATAGACGCCGCAGGACAACTTCCTACGATGGGTTTTTAAGATCCTCAATAGTCTTAACAGCCTTTGTCTCAGGAATTCCCTTTTTTCAACAGCGGAGATTTTAGCATATTTTAGTGGAATATTTCTCCAAAGATTTTGATTACAGAGTAAGCGTGCCTATCCGATTGATTTATAAAGTATAATTGCTTCTTATTCTTTTGTAATGCGTCAGTGGGGCTCTGATTGTACAAATGTGCTCGCTAGCTTACGCTTTTTTAACTTTTTTCAAATGATCACAGAAGGAAACGTTTCGAAAGTAGCCCTCGACTCTTTGTCTCTTCTACTAGCATGCAGGAGATTGACTGATATTCGCGCGCTAGCGGGGGTTGTGAACGTTTTCTTCTTGCCTAGGCCCTTCTCGAGGTGAGACTGATGGTTTCCACTTCTTAATCCATTCCTACATCATGTAGAAATGCTTTTTTACTCATAAATGAACGAGAAGCGTCAGGCCGAGCGCGAGTTGCGTATGCGCCGCGGCGGTACCTATGGGAAGTTGGCCGGGGTCCACACTATATATGAGGAAGCTCAAGAGTTATTTGAAAAGGAACATCAAGTCAGTGAATGAATACTTACATCTTTACTGAGCATTTGTGACCATAGTTCGGTGAAAACTTTATCTGTTAGCTCATTTCTCTCTTCAACGGTGAATTTGAGAGACATTGCCTCCAAAGCAGCGATTGCGCGAAGTGCCTAGAAGCAGACTCACAACTATTAAGCAACTAAATTGTAAATTAGCAGTCCACAAAGGCGGAACACTGTGAAATACCTTCTTCAAAGCTTTTGCTGGAATATTTTGATAGACGTGTACAGGTTTCAAGTCTTTGATATGCTCCATGATAAGATATCCTTTGAGAGGGTTGTTCTCGGTGAACTTTTGCATGTAATAGATCTAGACATGAAAAAAGCATTATTGAGTTTGAGCATTTTCAATGATCATCAGTTAAAACGCTAGCTTATCTTAGCACTCTGACACTGAACTCTATGTGTTCTACTAAAGGGCTCAGCAACTGAAAAAATGGAATTTGAGAATGCTTCAAGAGAGGAAGCCGTCGATACAGGCCATTGAAGCTTAGACTCGCAAAATTCACCGGAACTTCCGCAGGACAAACGGAATTTGCAGCAGTTCCGCAGCACTTTCGCAGGTGATCCGGCGGAAATGCTGCGAAAGCGCTGAGGAAGTTTCGGCCAGTTGTCTAACAAGGAAAGGATACTTGGTGACCGTGGCCTTTTAATATAATACGTAAACCACTAAATGCATCTCGAAGCGCTGAATCCAAATCTGTCTTCGTTATCTGCTGTGCGCTCTTCCGAAAGAAATTATGAACATTTCTTGTCACCAAAATTTGCACTGTTTTTGATGAAGGATTCACCAGTATCATCAGAATGCGCTTACGCGCTACAAAAGAGCGTCCAGATGAAGTGAAGCTTCACGTTGAGCTCAGGAAAACTGTCAAAGATGCATCAGAGTCTAAAAAGTCTGGATACTGACGATTTTGACTGCCTAAATCTTGCAAAATCAATATGGAAAAATGTTCATAACTTCGCTCAGGGAGTCGCACAGCAGATAAGGAATACGGATTTGGAATCAGCGTTCCAAGGCGCACCTACTGGTATACATCTCATTGCAAAAGGCCACGGTCACCAAGTATCCTCCCCTCGTAAGGAGACACTGCGTAAATCGAGCTTCAACAGGACCTGATCTTTTTCGTAGATATATCTACCTCAATCTATATTTGGTTCTACAAATTTTTTTGCCCCTTCCTACGACATATTATGATCAATTTCATTTTTTAAATTTTCTGAATGAAAAAAAGTATATAGTTTGATTTCCGAAAAACATCATATTGTTCCAATTTTTTGTTCATGCTGCATTTAACTAGTGGCCTTGGAATACGATAGCTAGCGCCGTACCTCTGGGCAAGGTATCGTTCCCTTTGGAAGTTTCTTGATATGGCTGTAAATTGTGCATTCAACATTGTGGATCTGTAAGTGGCGCTTCAATTTGTTACCGTATACAGAGCAATAAAATCCTGAATCGAAATTAGAAAGTAACCTGTTTTTGCTTGACCTCTAAGGCGTCCTTCATTTCCACACTGTCGAATCTGTTTTCAATATTTTTATTTTTTGCAATGTCCGATGTTAACTCTATCATAGCCAGCTGTGAAACGATCTAAACTTATTACTGATTTTTCAGACTCTGCTTCTAAAGCGACATTTTTTGATACAAACTTTGACAATGAAGGTTCTGGGAAGATCTTTGTCGATATTTTTCCAGTCAGGATTAATAAGAAGGATTCTGGACATGAAACCCTGAAAATCATCAAAGCAGTGGGGTTTATAGAGAAAGTAGGAGACTTACTCGACCATTTCCAATATCCCTGATGGATTTATAAGGCCCAAAAGTGACCGCAGTATCAAATACCCTTTGCATGTCCTCTTCGATGTCATCCCATGTGACGTGGGTACCGCCGAGACCATCAGCAAGGGTGTAGAGATTCATGTTAGAAAACTTTAATTTCTAAATTAGCTGAATTTAGTATAATCACTTTTTCATTTGAAGTTCTAAAAATATGAGTCAGTGCTAATAACCCTAGGTGTAACAATTTCCAAATCAAAAATACGAATATGTGTAACACATACAAAAAATGAATTCAGGAATAATTCAGAATTCTACCTACATTTGAAAATTCCTCTCACTGTCCCAATCAGTGAAAAAATCTCCATTTCACACTCATAGTTAACAAATCTCGTTGAATACACACTAGTAATAAAACAACGCCATTTACGCCACTATTAAAGGCAGTGTCTCACCAAAGTTGAGGTCGCGCGGATCTTCACATATTCTGTAATAGGGAGCTCTAAATAGGCCATTGCAACAAGTCCTACTCAATCTGACCCTCTTCACGCTGAGAAAAATTCGCTCAAAGTGGTACGCGGAGAGCGAGTTGGAACGCGCGGATGACTCCTTCGGTCTCCCCCCTTACGCGTTTGAACATGTCCCTCCACTTGGCATCCACCTCCCCTCTGTTGCTGCCACTGTGGCTGAGGCTGAAGTTGGAAGGTACAACTCGTCCATGTTGCTTCCACGGGGCCTCCAGAAAACGGGTTTTTTGGGAACTTCGTGCGATTTTAAGCCCATAGAGTGCTAGACAGGGTCCGACAGGCTTGCAAAATGCAAAAATCTCGGCAACTAAATTTTGGTGAGACACTGCCTTTAATATTGATTTGAGAGTTTTCATTCTCTTTTTGAAATTCTTTATAATTTTTGCGCTACATTAATCAACTCGCTGTATTAAAAAAATCAACAAATGCGATTAAACTAGAAATTAGATTTTTTCTTTGACTAAATCTCCGTAAACTAAAATTATTATATTGATACAAAACAATAAGATTTACTAAAAATTCCTCTTGTAGCGATCATCTTTATACAAGTGATAATGTTGAAAGAAAGTTTAGGCTTGTATTTTCCGTTTATTCTATTATAATAAGTCAGTATTAGTTTCAAAATTTTGTGGATCAATATAATGGACCTACGTGTATAATATCATAATTTTACTACAATGAAATATGTGTGTAAACGTATGGATGAGGAGTAGGACAATGAGAACATTGATAAGAGATAAGCTGAGCGCCTATGAACTTTGTGGCACGGTCAGAATGTACTAGTTATAGAGCTAAGGTTCCTTATCAGTTCATCGTTATCGTACATTGGAACCTAGACACGCGGTTGCCCAAGGATCCAAGATCAGCTCTCAAAATATTCAGATGGTTTTTACATCTGACATCAGTGCAACCTTCACACAAGATTAAGTTATGTATTATTATTATTATTAATTCGAACTGAGTTTGTCAGCTTTCTGAAACGAACCGCAAATTGCGTACGATTAATCCGCAGTTTTCTTCCTCTTTCCAACTGCTCTATTCGCACTGTGATTCGCTGAAAGAAAGCTAAGATAATCGCTGGAATCAAAAACCTTTGCTTTCACCATGTCCAGCTTTTGCTAATTCTCAGAATTTTCGTCTCAAGCTTTCGTGGCAGCTTCGAGGGCCAGGCAAATAAGGCAAACCTTTTGTCAACCAAAGCAATTTTTTGTAGCTCGTGGTCGTCTTTCAGAATTTCCGGAATATACATTTCAAATTAACCATATTTTATATATGGCCTATTTCGTAGAACACTGAAAAACAGTTCAAGTACCATTCAATGCAACTTGTTCTCCTCTTTCTAACAACTGTTTTCTTGGCGAAAACTCGAAATCTGCGAGAAAAATTGCACTTTTTGATTTTACGAGTGGGCACCGAACCTGTTTCAAAATCATGATTTTTTGAAGCGAAAATCGCTCACTTACTTTTCATTTACTTTTTGAGATTAGTAATAGCAAAGCGGAAGTTGGACATGTCGAAAATCTGAAGCGATTAGCGTAGCATCTCTCAGCGAATCACACTTGGATGACAGCGGATAGAAAGAGGAAGAAATTGTACCGGATACAGTTTGAAGTGACTTTCTTTATTCTACCGTTTTTGCCGGTGGATTTAACTGACAAAACTTTTGGACCGACCTAATATTACCTAAATCTATCCGGAAAATTTTTTTCTTTTATTTCATCGTCTGGTAAACACATCATTGTGAACCACTGTAAGTTCACGTAAGAGAAGGCCGAAAACTACGGCCGAAAATTTGTAAGTTTTGTGAACAACTGTCTCTGCAAAATTAGGTAGAATTTCCCTAGCTGAGCTTCACCCAACCCCTTTAAAGGCACCTCCACTCAAAATGAGGTTGATGAGACCTTACCGGACCTCATGTAACTCCCTACTTGAGGTCATTGCAGACCTCAAGTGAATCCCTTTTTTATCGCCGCGAAGAGCTTTAAAAGAAAGTGCTGTCTAAAAAGTATATGATTCACTTTGTAACAGTGTTAATGCCATGCAAAACTATCGTGACAGTAAGAAGTTACGGATTTTTTATGGTGCGCAGAGCTTTCGAACCAACCTAGTGCTACTTTTTCAGCAAGAGGGAGTGTCTATCAAATTTTTCATACTGTTTTGGAACGTTTTTATGGCGTTTCCAAACATCCATCAGTGTCTGAACTGCACTTGCAGCTTAGATGTTTGTGCAGTACAACCAAAACGCAACTTAATCATAAACACATCGACGACCAAAGCCTTTTTTGGACCAGCCAACATTTTTCAGATAAAATCACGCACAATTCCATTTACAGTACATCTACAGCAGCGTGGAAGGCTGGAAAAACAGTAGAGGTTGTATCTATATTCATCATAAAAGAAAACTCCCAGAGTTGATTTGAAATTAGTAGCCATTTCAATGGGAGTCATGGTGTGTCAAGCCTTGACATACCATGTGTATCAAGCGGTCGTCAATGTGTTAATTTTATCATTTAAAACTGACATCGCCTAATCCTAGCATCCTGCTTTCATTCCATTCCCACTTAAACATCTTGTACTTCTATAACTTATCTCGGACAATACTGGGTAGATAACCCACCTTTGGGTCGTATCGTCCGGAACGGCAGAGCACGTACGACCCACCGGTGGGTCGTATTGTCGTAAATGTGTTAAAATCCAGCGCTGGCAGGTTATAAATGCATGACGCATTCAACTTTCGTAGTGGAGCAATGTGCCCTATCTTCTATACATACAGAATGCGCTCACGATGAGTTACAAACAGTGGAGCACTGTCAATTCGTGCCGCGCCTGAAGTAGCGTGAAGTATGCCCGAGGCTTAAATCAGATCAGATAGGCAAAAACTTCTCATTGTCAGAAAAGAAATATACTGGCTGTTTTGCATAGGTCATTTGGAGTACCTTCCTTTCCCTAACTTGGGTATATATACTTGCACAAAGATAAACAAGTACTTGAGAAACTGCCATATGTAGAATTTCTTCATCTTTCCAGCTGCCATGTTTCCAAACAATAGAAAACTCGGCAGGCAAAGAATTGTGGATGCCCTTTGAGTTCGCATTGTTCGTTATTGTCCAAGTAGAGTATATCAAATTTGCAGTAACGCTAAAGTTCAGAACTCTGTTCTAATCCCTGCAACACTTAGTATGCTTGATTCTATTTTTGATTTGCTTTACACTTCTTTGTTTAAAGTCGCATTCTAAATTTATATTCATCTCAATCTGCTCAAATTCCAGAAATTTGTTATGATTACTTTCAGCATTTTGTTAGTTCCAGAATTTAAGTTGAATAGAAGAGCACTATCTTGTTGAATTCAGTCTATGCAACACTGCCAATAAAGTACAACCAATATTTATGTATACTTACAAAGGTCTTTCAGCTAGCAGATATCCACAGCAAGCTAACCCGCCCATATGTAGTTGATTATCGCACTATGGGGACCGAAAAAGCTGAACCAAGTCGCTGTCAAACAATTTTCTTTTGGGACGAATGACTCATTGATCTACTTGGAAATATCAACTGAAGTTAGGATGGAGTGAATTCTTTTTATTTGGACGTATAACAAATCAATCAGTCAAAGAGAAATAGAAACAAATTTCGCTATTGTCATAAACCCATTTTCATGATAAACATAGATACAGCGACAAGCGTGCGGCGCGCGTGCGTATAAAACCTGTCTGAAATTAAGAACAAGGCTCTCATTCTTCTTCGTCTCCCGATACAGGGGTGGTTCTTGTAAACTTTCCCACCTTTATGTCTATAGCCTCTGACTCTGAAGCATGTGAGAATAGACAGTACCCGCTGGAAAGAAAAAGGGAATGGAAGAGGTAACCTTTGATTCAACTGGCTTGGCGTCTGGAAGGCGGGGCTTTGTGACCTAGTTCAAGGTCGCGCCCGTGACGTAGTCTGCTTCTCTTCTCTTTCGCGCGCGTGCCCTCTGATCTTTATCTAGCCCTGATTATGTCGTGAAGCTCGCCTTCCAACCGCCAAACCGGTTGAATCAAAGAAGATTCAAACTCTAGCTTTGCCAGTTTACGATGGAATTCTACGGGGTTCTGGCATATGATTGGGGCCACCTTGGCCAAGCTCCTGCCAAAGTGGTCCAGGCTCGGGATAGTGTAATACAATGTTACAGGTATACCTTAGGTAATAAGGCACAGACCTAAGCTTAGAAATTTCGCTGTTTGGACTTTAGACAGAGTGGCGCTGTTTTTGAAAAATCAAATTCACATGCAGTGAAATACAGGAGGGCACGAGAGTGATGTCACCCCATCAAAAATTATTAATTCTATTGATTTTATTGATTTATCGCATTGTTCATCCCATGAAGCTCAGACCTTACATATACAGGTTTTTTAGCATGCTGATTATGATGATACTCTCAAGTTCTAATACGCCTTCTTACATCAGTTTCTTGATTCTTACGAAAATCCTACCGTACTGCTACCGCAGTCCCACTGCGAGGAAGTTGAACAAAGTGGACACTATTGTGATCAGCACGTGAAATAATCCCAAAACACATTTTTTCATGAAAATTCATAATGGGTTCGTACAGAATGACTACCGTAAATTTACCGTATAGTGCAAAAACCGAAATAAACCATATTAATCAGCGCTTGATAACCCTTGTGAGAAAAATCTCGGAAACATGTTCAAAATTTTCTCGAAAAGACTACCACTTCGGACAATTAGACCCACTGGTGGGTCGCAAGTTTGACAAAGCGAAAAGCCTCTCTTTCTAAATGGCAGTAATTGAAAAATCGGCCTTGTCGTGAATGTGTTAAGGGCGTATGGCAAATTGCCACATCGCGTGGAGTATGCCCGAGGCTTTACACATTTCCCTTGTTCAAGGCTTACAACATGAAGAAAATACATTGGAAAACATTTCTATATTGGGCTTGAATTGCTGAGGATTATTCACACGGCACATGAGCAGCTCTGGATGCAGCTGTAACTGTGAGAAATGCTTAAGGAGTTGTGGATTCAAGCCATCATAAAAAGATTTTCAACGAGAGTTTATTGAATGTTTACACACTATTGCCATTCTTGGTCAGCATATTGCGTTCGTGGTACTTGAGCAGATCGTCCAAAAGGCACTCGGTTTTTTCAGTGACAAGATCCATGCTCTGTAAAAGCTTACAGTACTGACGAAGCAAGATTGAATTATTTCTTCGTACCCTCTTTTTCTGTCGTTCGTCCGGGTTGTGATACAATGCTTCATACATTGGTGCTATCGTCGTTACAATCATGAAAGTACCGAGAGGCATAAATTTGCGGCAAGCTTCTTTCAACTGAAAAAAATTTCAGATTTTTGCTTCGACCATTTGTCGCTCTCACCTGTTCCAAAGTATACGGCATTGGCTTGTCGCCAACTTCTTCTTCCAGATAGCCATAAAACTCCTCAACGAGCTGCTCCCAATGCTCTTGTCGGTCTTTACCGCTTAGGCATGCAGAGAATAGACGTATCAGATCGTTGGCTGGGCAACCCATGTGAGCAGTCTGAATTTCGGTTTTTGACAGTAGTACCAATAAACGATTTTTTGCTTAATGAAAAATGATTTACCGAAAACGAAGAATCTTTGTTTTTTTTTTTGACGTTTCAGATTACCAGGAATTTATATCCGAAAAGAAGAAAAAAACTGTTTTGCTGAAAAAATTTAACCATAATGACGTTGAAAAGCGGCACCACTACTTTCACAAAAACATGAGAACGTAGCAAAATTTTTATAATTACTTGCCTGGAAGTCAATCATTGCAGCCATGTTGACGTCATTTCCATTTTCCTTCCAGAGCATATTGGTGGACCACAGATCTCCATGACAGAGAACACGCTGCATTCCTGAAAGTATGAGTAGACTTCGCAAAACAAGAATGAAATTCTTCTTTTGGGACGAATCGATTATTTGCAAAAATTATACAGAAAAAACTCTGACATTGGCACAGTTGAACGATCATTTCATCAAATCGCACTAAAAGTTGTCACCTACCCAGTTCATCAGCTAGTTGATCTGCCCATTCGAAGTTCATGAATTCCATCAACACTTCCTTCATTTTCTCAAGCTTTTTCGTGGTTTCCTCTGTGCCAAAGCCTCGCATTCCATCTATCATAGTCTCCACTGTCTGAAATAGAGTACTCTACTCTTCAACTTTCAGTGCCTTAACACTAAAGAATCTTACTTCTTTGGTAAATATGGGCCCAAACAATTCAGCAAAAGGCCTGTGGGTAAACTCGTTTTTCTCGTCCTCGGTAAAATTTAGTGATATTGCTTCCAAAGCCGCTTTTGCACGAAGTACCTGGAATGAAACACTCTTGTCGCAATTCAGAATATGGTAACAACTTACCTTTTTGAGAGACTTTGGTGGCACATTCTCGTAAATATGCAGAGGTTTAATGTTTTCGACATATTCCATAATGATATAACCTTTGACGGGATTGTATTTGGAGAACTTTTTCATGTAGTAGATCTATGAAAGAGACAAATTCTCGGAGTTTTGCCTCTCGCGCTTTATTTTCACAGAGCAGTGTGATTAATACCTTCGTAATAGGAACGCGTCCAGGATGTTTCATTAAGTGTTTGTATACGGTGACTTCAGTGTTGTGGATCTGAAATTCATGTACTTTTGACAAGAAATTGTGGTTTGTTGTTGTGAAACTAAAATTAGAATATTGTCATGTTTTAAAATCGTTCTACACGCTCAAGCTTTAAGCTTTTATAATTATCCTTCTGCAGAAATGTTTTTTCTGTCTTTTTATAATTGCGAAAACTCTTCTTGTCAAAAACTGAAAACGTTTTTTTATCTTAAACGGCACACCATGCTAAAGTTTAAACTTTAGACTTCTGGTCTACGAATAAAGAAAGCAAGTTACACGCTTCTGCTGTTGCTCTATAGCCATCCTCATTTGTTCACTATCGAAAATGTTCTTCGTATTTTTCTTGCTCGACATCTCTTCCGTAATCTCTATCATGGACAGCTGTGAAACTATCTGAGATTGAACATTGTTAGAAATGAAAATATAATAGTTTTGCAAACCCATCTCAACTTACCTTAACCACAAAATTTTCGGGAAGATCTTTATCTTTATATTGCCAGTCTGGTTGAATAAGAGCAATCTTGGACATAAAGCCCTACAATTTACCATTTTCTCTCTATCATTTTTTTGGAAGGATAGCAACTCACTCTACCATCGCCAACATTCTTTACCGTCTTGTTTGGCCCAAAAATGGCAAGAGTGTCCAATTCTCGCTGCATATCCTCTTCAATGTCTTCCCAAGTGACATGAGTGCCAAACAATCCGTTACCAAGTGTGTAAAGATTCATATTTGGACTGCAAATTGAAAATGTGTTGGAGGTTAAAGCAATATGTCTAGGGTACTCTTAGGATTCGCAAAATGCGCATTTCTTGCGCAAAATGCAAGAAAAGTTGTTTTGATTTTCCTTCTGGTCCATAGAAAAAAGTACGGTAACATTATATCAAGCTAATATTACGTTGAAAACCCAGAGATGTTTAGAGTGTGTGATTTTTATAGAATTTCCAAGTTATTGCTTCACTACGATTGATCCATAGAAAATGTGACGACAAAGCATGAGCGAAGAAAATTAAGGACGAACTGTTGCGCATAGTGTGGAATTGTAGACAAACTAGATGTGAACCCAGATATGAGTCCACAATACAACATTTTGGGGTCGATCGAAAGTCAAAAGCATACATATGCGTAAAACACGCGCAGGAAGAAATTGGGGGGGGGGGTGTTATTTATATTTATTTTCACAATTTCCTTAATCCTGTGACTGAAATTCGAGCACAAATTAAATGTTTCAACAGTGATATCCGCACATTCTTATTCCGCATTATGCCTAGAAAGCCTATGTCACTTCAATCAAAGATGCGGAATATAGAAAATATCATTCAGCTATAGTTTTAAGAAGTCTTTGGAGCATCCTATTCAACTATTTTTCCTTTTTTCATTCTCCTTTCCCTCTTTCACCTCCAAAAGCAATGTCGCAAACAACACTTTTCAATACTTTTATGCCGAATGGCTTTTGAAAAAGAGACTAGCAGATCAGATGATTTGGGAAGAGCTGCACGCAGCATTTGAAAAAAAATCAGAGGAAAATAAAGCATTTCCGATATCTCGCAAAGCTTATAGAGCCTGAAGAAGAATTTGAATGCAGTCCCTTTTGACCAAATATGTCAGCAGCAGTTGAAATCTACATTTTAACGGGATTCAATGAAAGCGTTTAATCAGGATACAAGGAGAGACAAAAACAGCTATGGAGCAGTAGCGCTTAGGCCTTTTCAATTTTTTCAGAGTCCGTGTGATTTCAGTGCTATTACGAATATGTTAAATGGGTTTGATCCGATTAGTTCCGGAACAACGATCGCTTACTATACGCATAACCGAGGAGAGCTTCGCCAGACCCAGGCAGTGATAAATAGACTGATTTTCTGCATATCAGCTAAGCAAAGCAAAGAATCTTATCACAATCTGGCCGAAATGGCGTGAACATGCTCAGGACCTTGAACAAAGCTTCTAGATAAGATAGCGCAGTGTATGCGCTAAAGACTAACTATGCGATTTTTCAAGACTTTTGAGTTTCTTCTCATATACGCTGAAGCGAGCATGTCGAGAAATAAAAAATGTATCAGACCATCCTAAAACTTTAACAGCTACTCCATTTTTTCAAAAACAAATTCTTTGTTCAATATCAGAAATCCGAATATTCTGCTGTCAAGGCAACTATAGCTTTCTCTGCACCTCGTTCGCATTGTTTAGGGGGAAGCGGACAGCCTAAAACTAGATTTCCCTAACTTCAGCAAAGGACTTGACATACTGTATGGTCACAATATCAGGCGGAGTAGGTAACCTGCTGCACAAAATGCATGGAGAAGTTCGAAATTTTTTAGCTCAAGCCTTAATAGGGCTTTCGAGATAGTATTCTGCTTAATTCGATGTCCAACCGCAAACTTTTATTATAATTTGGCCTTACAAGGTAAAAAATAAGTGTAAAACATCATTTGAAGCTTTTGCGCAATGCGTACTTCCGAAAGTAAGGCCGAGTAAAAGTGTAACAAATCATGTTTCTTAGGACAGTTACTATACCAGAACCAAGCTTAGGTTATGTCAAAGAATCATACTAGAATTATATAAGCTCCTAATTATCATCTTATAACTCAAAAAACTCCTTTCTAAATCCTTCTTATAATCATATACAAACTTCGTAACTCGTAATGTCGTACACAGTGGGGAAGACCCGTTTACCTCTAATTTCCTTCCTGTGTTAGAGCCCTTCTCGCCGTTTTCGCGCTCTCCATTGTGATTATCTCAATATCGAGTTCTTGACCGAAAGTGGCTTTAATGACAGTGTCCCGGCAGATTCGCACCTTAGGGGATAAGCTGCGGTGGGATTCGTGTTCACCTCACTAACTAACCTCCAGGCTCAGTCCGGCTGGTTGATGTCCCCACGCCGAGGAAATGGCCCTCGAACCGGCGCGCTCTTGGACGACTTCTCTTACCTGTTTGACGCGGGACCCCGCTACAGCTCTCCGCATGGTGCATGCTAGTCGGGCAGCGGAGCCCGATCTGTGGATAGCGGGCTCTGCTGCCCGACTGCAGTACCCGAGATCAAACTTGCCAGTTACCAATCGAAAAGTTTGATGAATTACGGGATTGACACTCTTGCTTGTCCGGGCACTCGTTATAATGACCCGAAGAGCGACTGGAAGATTGATAAATACTGCCCTTGGTTTTGCCCATCTTGATGAATCAGTGAATATCGGGGGGCGCTCGTTACGCACGGGCTGCCAAATGGAAAACGTCGCAACGCGGCATTACAGTAACCGCGCGGGGGAAGCAGCAGTGTAGAAAACTTGTCAGATTTATATCACTAGATTACCAATGTTTTTTCTATATTGTTAGTGTTTTACCTCCTTTAATTTGTGTCTTTTTTGTTCTTTGTCAGCTCATTTTACAACTTTTGTGGCAGAACTTCAAATAATTACTCAGACAATTGCATCGGAAAGTTCGCGGGTGCTTCGACCACCAATCATCCATGCCGCGAGCCGCCCGGTAAGCCGATATTAGACCCAATAAGTCACGCGGCGCATCCGGTAAGTGCCCGTTGAGCGCCTATAGTTTAGCCTGCTTGTAAGGACTAGTGAGAGTGAAGAAGCTCTTAACCTGTGTTTCACGATGACGACTTGTGTGCAAATTGAGCAATTTGTTGGCTCACTGTCGACTAATGTCGTTGATAACATTCATCCAACTGCTGAGGTTTAGTTCGTAGGGATAAGAGCCCAACTCTGTCAGATAGGACCAAATCAAGAAGCAATACCCAGCACCATAAACTTTAGGGGTAGCCCCATCGCTGCGACGTACCTCACGCTGGTTGCGTCTTAACCTACAGCGTGTAAAAAATGCGGCCTTTGATAAGGCCCGCGGCCCGCCTAGTGAGGTGGTTCGGCCGCGACTCTCCCGATGACCTCTTCCCAATTTCAACTTTGGCCGCGGCGTTCCCGGTAAAATATACGTGGGCCGCGGCGTGCGGGGCTGAAATTTTGAGGGCCGCGGCGCGCCATGCACAGGGCCCGGCACAGATTGTCTGGAAGCAGGCTGGACTTCGTTTTTGAAGCAAACTGCAAAGGAGATATCGTTTCTGACGAATGGGGGCCAAGCACCAAGAATGAGCGCCATTCAGTCGAACACAAGCTTTTCGGACAGATTATCACACGATTGACATGCTCTATCGTGCATGGCGAAAAGTGCGCGCGATTTGAAAGCAAGGCTAAGATAAACAAATTGCTTGTTTACAGCGCACACAGAAGCATATGACACCAAAATTGAACTATATGTACAGAAAATTATTTGCGAAAGTATTATGTAAAAAGATTTGAAAACTTATGTGAAGTAATACCTTTTCCAAAATTAGATCGTCTCCAGACGGCCACCAGACGATCTGAGATCGTCTGGAGCATATATTTTCGTTACTTCACATAAGTTTCGGATCTTTTTAGCATGGACGGATTCCCCGGTCAAAAATCTATCCCTGAGCATGAAGACATTTTCATATCACTGCCTTTCCTTTGTTTTTTGCCTTCATTTATTCTCGCTTTGTTAGATATCGCGCTCTAATGCCAAAGCCTTGGCATGCGTAGTATTCAGCTCCAGTTTGGATTTTCGCTCTTATCTTACGTCTTTTCTTTCAGACTAGTAATTTTTTCTTGTTTTCATCTTCTCCCAAGCAGGTAGGTCAAAGGGGACTTCGTAAAACTTCCGTAAGTTAGGGAAGACTTCGTTTTCAGAAACCCTAGAAACCGACTCGTGCCGGGCCCTGGCCATGCAACACGCTTTGAGGCCGCGAACTTTCCGATGCAATTGTCTGAGTAAGTAAAACTGATATAAGAATAGTCTGTGAACCTCAAAAAAGGATGAGAAACTGAAAAACTATGTGTTGCGGATCATGCTGGCTGAATTCTCGGAGTGCGGTCACTGGCAGCCTGTCGCGCGCGACCTGCCAGTTTTCCAATTGGCAGCTCGCACGTAACGATACGCCCCCGTGAATATCTTTTATCGTACGTACCCCTTTCATCGTATTTAACACGTTTCGGACCGGTGCTGCACATGGGCAGCACTCACGTTTGAAGGATCTAACGTTTACAGGAGGTTTTCTTTTTGTCCAAGGTTATCAGGTCAAAGGCCTAAGCTCCTACTTCTCGAAAGGGTCTGTAGAGCTTTGCCATCGATATTTGTACAGGAGATATAAGGACAAATCGAACATCAGTAGCAACGAAGTGCGGCAACACGAACGACGCGTGCGACGTCGCAACTTTTCTTAGCTTTGATTACAAAGAGAAAAACCGTAGTTTCAATAATGATGTGTATCGTGTACAACATTGATACTTTTGAATACAATTAGAAACTGAGTTTCTGTTCCTATCTTTTAAGAAAGCACAGAACTCCTTCTCAGAAGACAAAATTCAAACACTTCGAATTCACTCAGAATTCTGGGTATGGATCTTATCTGCCATGCTGATAACAGATGTAGCACGAAATCTACGAATTATGGTCCCTTTGTTGGCTAACGGCTGAAAGTACCTCTTTTTCGCTGCGCGCGATTTCGCGGTCCGAAACGTGTTAATTTTGTCGCGATACCACCACGGTACGTAATCGATAAATATTGTAAAATCTACAAAATTTAACGCTTTCTATTTTTGAATTCACTGACGTGCCCCATTAATGCTAAATAAGAATGCGAACAAAATGAACACCGCCTTTGTATGACATTTCTGGTCTTCTTTCATTCTTTCAACCCACAACAAT